AAAGAAGACGACGAGTACAAAAGATTCGTGATAAAGATCACGTTATTGCAGAATCCAGTCTTCAGGGCTTTGCTCGATCAGTCCAGAGACGGAGTCTACGACGATTTCTCGGCCGGAGACCCGAAACTCCGAATCCCTTGCGACGAGGGTTTGTTCCTCGAGGTCCTCCGTTGCGCCGCCGGAAAATCTAGCTCGTAACCGATGAATGTAAACCACGGAGGAAGAAGACGGATTTGTGTGACTATGACGCGAGATTAGAAGAGATCTTTTTGCAACCGTAGATGTAATTTCTGATGGTCTCTATACGCATATGTTGATTATAACATGCGATATGACAAAGAACCTATCTATGAACTGAAACTAGTTAAAATTAACCCAGGTTCAAGGATCATAAGTTTTTACGACAACCTATGTTGTTACATCGTCTAGGACTGGACAAACAAACCCGAAAATCGAGTCATCCGTCGTCCTGAACGGGTCGAATATCCGGATTTTGGATATTGGACCACAAGAACCCACCCATATTTGCGGGTACCCGCATTGTTGCCCAAGGTTAGGGTTTGAGATATTTCCTCGCCTCATCTTTCTCAGACTCAAGACAGTAGCTAAACATTCAAAACATTCTACAAATACCCAAATGCGAGTACCCGAATATTACGGTGGATACCCGAGAAACTCAAATTCGAATATCCGACCTGTACTCCAGCCCTAGCTTCTAACTTGTTCATCCATGCTATAGAAAACAGAGTTGACGGCCATTGTTCAGACTCATCTCTAAGTTACACTAACCAATGTCTCTGAAGTTAGCTGTCCATAGTAGAGAACACAGCAGTTCATATTGATAATACCAAGTCAACGCCTTTATTACATGGCTCAATCTCTTCTGTTTCACCATTACACATCACTTTCTCAACCCAATAATAATCATAAACTGATGACTGGATGATGCAGTTCAGAGAGGGAAAACACAAGGAAGAAACTCAAGTGGAAGCACAAGCAACACCCACAATGGCTCACCAAAACTTCAATGGAGGATAAGTGAAAAAACCCGACGATTTCTAGTTGAAGTCGGGCTTCTCGGGGTAAGTGCAGCCAGGCCTCTGGATTACGACGTTCGAGGCATAGCATCCCGCCTTAACGCATTCCTCGATTGTCTTCCCAAACACCAACTGCGACAAGAATCCCCCTACAAATGCATCACCTGCCGCCACAACAAATGGCATTGAATTCATTCATCGGTTTTCACAAATATTTGGAATCCCCTTCCATAGTGTTCATACTAAAAAAGGAATGCAGACGTTAGGACCATACTCTCTAGTTAGTGTTTGATCAAATCTTAGTATGGTTTTAATCTAAGGATGATGATCACTAGAAATGGTACCTGCACCATTGGTGTCGACCAGCTTCTCTTTCGGGAGAGGGATCACAGGGTATTTCTTCACCTTTCCATCCTCAGCCACAACAACTGGGTCTGCTCCCTGTGTAATGACAGTGATCCTCTTGTACGTTCCCGTGGCCTTGTGCCACTGTGATATCTTAAGGGCTATTTCCTCTACGTCGTCCGTCTGAATAAGTGATATCCATATTAGTTTTTTTTGTTCTAAAGGTATTAAAAAACTTCAACAGCTGGACAAATCGTTACCTCCCAACCGTGAACCCTTGAGAAGGTTCTTGCTTCAGTCTCGTTGCCGAATACAAAGTCCATGTACCTGACAAAGCAGAAATCAGAGGAATGCTTTTCAGTACGCAGGGTATGAATGCCTTGATCCAATCATGCAACGAAAACCAGATTCTGAGTAGGATGGCTTACGGCAAGAATTTCTCCTGCACGTCTTTGAAGAATTCGCAGATGAATGGAGCAGAAAGGTTCATTGTGAACACCTGTCAGATAGGTTGGTATTAGCATTGTTAAAATGAAAGACACTGATAAGGAAAAAAAAAGGATTTATTGTAACAGGGGCCGGGTCTCATGAAAGAACACATCTCTTATACCTTGTTGTTTTTTGCAGCATGTTCAGACACCAACTGAATGGATTCAGGCGAAACGGTGAGGAAGAATCCAGCAATGTAGTAGAACTTGGCCTTCTCAACTGAACAGAACAGTCAACACATATGTGATATGTCAGATCAGAACGAAGAAGAAACTAAACAAAACCTCAGAAACAAGATCCAGCATAACTGATCGAAGAAAGTAAAAATGGAAGATAGTTTTACCCAGCGCCCAGTTTTCAGGCTTCTTCAAATGCTCGACCTTGTAGCAGTTTGCTGCAGATAGATTCGCAATGAGCGACCTGAGGAGGGAGTTCAAAAAACACACGTAAAAGCTCTAAAGCCTGAGATCAGATCATCATGAGACAATTACAAAACAAAAGTCGTTGAATTTGAGGGTAAGGCTGACCTCTCTCCACCGACAACACAGACACCACATGTTCCGGTAGGAGCAGCTTCATCTTCATAATAGTGGACCTGGTTTAAAGAACACCAAGAGTTAGCACCACCATTCTGATCTCATCCATGAAATTCGGGAATATTTCTTGAGAATAAAGTAAAAATAACCTCGCAGGGGAAAGAAGAGCACCAAAACTAGATGAAATTAACTAAAAAATGTGAAATCAGAGAAGGTAATATCGGAAAACAGCTTACGTTAACACCAGCTTCAGTGGCATTCTTCTTCATTTCCTCTCCATATTTGTCCTTTCCAATAGATCCCATATAACTAGTTGCCCCGGGGATTTGAAGCATCCACTGCAAAAAGGGCAAAGACATCATTAGTCTGGCAACTGCACTTCTTTGCTCCAAGGAACATGAAAAACGCAATGAGCGACCTGAGGAGGGAGTTCAAAAAACACACGTAAAAGCTCTAAAGCCTGAGATCAGATCATCATGAGACAATTACAAAACAAAAGTCGTTGAATTTGAGGGTAAGGCTGACCTCTCTCCACCGACAACACAGACACCACATGTTCCGGTAGGAGCAGCTTCATCTTCATAATAGTGGACCTGGTTTAAAGAACACCAAGAGTTAGCACCACCATTCTGATCTCATCCATGAAATTCGGGAATATTTCTTGAGAATAAAGTAAAAATAACCTCGCAGGGGAAAGAAGAGCACCAAAACTAGATGAAATTAACTAAAAAATGTGAAATCAGAGAAGGTAATATCGGAAAACAGCTTACGTTAACACCAGCTTCAGTGGCATTCTTCTTCATTTCCTCTCCATATTTGTCCTTTCCAATAGATCCCATATAACTAGTTGCCCCGGGGATTTGAAGCATCCACTGCAAAAAGGGCAAAGACATCATTAGTCTGGCAACTGCACTTCTTTGCTCCAAGGAACATGAAAAAATCACATATAAAGAACGTACTTGGGCCACTTTGATCGAGTTCTGGGTAGCACCTGGAAAAAGGAGACAGCAGAATCAAGAACAGGAAGGCATCAAAATCTTGCCATTGCATATCCATATCCAGCGAAAGCATAACACCAATGTGGGAGAATATTAAAGATAAGTTACCTCCGGCAATGTATTCGACATTGTCCATGCGGCTCATTTCCTCGTACCTAGGAAAAATACCCTTATCATGAGAGATCACATGCCTGAGCTGACAACTAGATAGCTAAAATCGAATCCAAGAACAGGGAGGAGGACACAATGTCATCAATCCATATTACGAAAGATGTATGATAAAACCAACCCACTCCCACTTCAAAAGCTTAACCAGAACACAAGAGGGTCCTTAAACATCTGCTTCAACTATTTACTGTATTCAAATTTCAATGATACATGAATTTATTACACACCCATTCTTATCAACATCGTGAAGTTCGTGACGTTACAGTCTTACAGATAGCATAGCTTCCTATCTCAGTTCGTTAAACTTGTCGCACAGAAATGTAATCGGAAGCCCATGTCAAAGAAGCGAACAAATTAGATCTCTTGCTCATGCCCACGTCAAAAGGAAATCAAATTCAAGCATAAAACCTATAAAGATTCAGCCTTTTAAGCTTCTAATGAAACCTAAGTAAAGATGAAAGACAACGATAGCCTGCTACCAGTTTTCCCACGAAACAAATCGACAAAAGATCAGGCAAGACGAGTGATCCTTACATAGGCAGATGTTTGTCCTCCGCAAGAATCGCATTGTTCAACTTGATGTCGTATCTGTCACAATTCGAAAAGAACAAAACATCAATAAAGCAGAAACATTAAACGCAATCACAAATTGCAAACTCAGAACAGGCGCAAACCCAGCAAGAAACGCATGACAAGGGAACTAGATCCAGATCAAAGAGCAGGAAAAAAGCACACGGATTAGGACAGAACACGAAGCGGAAAGCGGGAAAAAGTAAGAGGAAAGACAGATCTGAGCGTACTTCTTGAGGAAATCTTCGTCGACGACGGCAGAGATGTCGAGGAGAGGGTTTCCCATGCCGAGAAGGATTCCATCGAAATCGGAGGAAGCCATGGACGGTGAGCAGAGAAAAGACGAAGGAGATGTGTTCTAACGCTGAAGGTCAGATTTAGATCTGTCGAATGAAAGGCAACACGGATTAGTCAGTGAGTCTGTGTTTATATAACCAAAAAAGTAGTAGGTGTGAACTTCTTTTTATTTTATTAATTTTGTTAAATTAATTTCATTATTTTACAAGTTTTTCAACTAAAAAAAATGAGACACATATAACACGTGTGATTATCTCATAAATAAGTTATTACATATATATTTTATCTCCTTTTAGATTTTGTGTATAATGTGTATATATATATATATATACATACTATTTCTACATTTTTTTTTAAATGGTGCACATATGTAATTCTAACAATGAAAAAGTATTTTTTTTTTATGTTATTTCGAAATTGTGGTGGAGAAATTGGTAACAGACAATATTTAATATCTGGAATTTCTAGGAGGCTGGAATAAAATTGGGATGTGTATTGATTAATTATATAAAGAAAAATTATGGTTTTGATAATACAAAGTCCCATGGCATGGGGGTCCCAATCTCACCAACCAACCCCACTTTATTAAACCTTGAAATGTCTAAGGAACTTAAAGTAACCATTTTCAATTTTTTTCTTTATTTATAAAAAAAAATTATTGACTTGGGAAAATGAATATCAATAGACTGATGATTAACTACTGAAATGATATGATACTGTGAGACATTAAAATACAAAGAATATATAACAAAATCAAACAAAAACCAAATAATATAATATATAATCATATCAGAATGTTCACAGTCTAGAATTCAATTGACCCAAACTTTTTTAAACTGATTTTTTCGAATATAAAATAAAACTAAAATATAAAAAAAATATATAAAAAGCACTGAAAAAAAACGGTAATATATGATATATCTACCAACTGAATAATTATTTTTATAAAAACAAAGTAAATAAAAAAAACTCAAGATGAAAAATCAGAGGGGGTTCAAGAGGAAGTCAAATAGGAATCCTACCAGCAAGAAGAATCTTTGATGCTCTTCATTACGGAATCAGATTATAAATTATCAAAAACCCAGAAAGGCAGAAACAATACCTGTGATTACCGTACGGCTTATTTCGAGAAATTCATCAGGAATAATCGTATCATAATCGACCAACCAAATCAGCCAAGAGACAGAGATATTGAAACAAGCCCTTTTGTGATGCAGAGGGCTTGTGATAACATCTCCTCCTGTTGTGAATCTTCTGCCTTGCGGCAAAACTCAAAGAGAACAGCGTTCAGACAGATCAAGAAGAACTAAAGATGATCAAACAAAAGCCAATGCCGGTAATGATTCTCCTCGGCATCTAAGAATCAAAGAGGCTAAGCAGCCCTCCGGTGGAAATCAGTTGTATTGTAGAGAGAAGAAAGAATCGATCTTTACGGGGTTCAAAGGTGACCGCAGATGGCGTTTGTGAACTCTGTCGTGGTGGATGCTCCCCCGAGATCCGCAGTCCTGAACTTGCCCTCGGCTATGGTGTTGATGATGGCACTGTGGATCCGCTCGGCTTGCTCATTCAGCTTCAGGTGTCGTAACATCATCACCCCGCTCAGAAGCAGAGCCGTTGGGTTCGCCAGGTTCTACACCAATCAATCACACGAATCAGCACTCAGCAAAAGAGCTCAAATTTTCACTTGGGTCATGCTGATTATATCGGTATTATGGACTGGACTCTTATGTCGAAAAGTCTTTTGCCTTTCTCATACTAAAAGAAGGCCATCGCCCCACATTATCGAAAGTATTACTTCCGAATGTTCAACCAAGAAAATGCCGACAAGAGGAAGGCGAGAAGAATCAAGCATATTCTCTACGGCAGCTTATTTATGTACTTGATCCCAGGGTGACAGATCGGGCTGTCATAAGTTGGAGAAAGTGATGACTGATGACGAGAAAGATTAAAACGCTTCACACAAACTTAGACAGGGAGACAACTAGTGTAGAGGAAACCTAGTACAAGTTATGTAGGTTCAAGGACTAACCTTTCCAGCAATATCGGGTGCAGACCCGTGTACAGCTTCAGCTAAGCAAATACCACCTTCCCCGATATTACAACTGCATCATCAGAGATGACAACATTGATACAATATTATAGATGATAGGCTCACAATTGTACCAGACTATACAAGATGATGACTGGATCTGACAATACCTTGGAGTCAAACCGAGTCCACCGACCAGTCCAGCGCACAAGTCACTTATAATGTCACCATAGAGGTTTGGCATCACCAATACGTCAAAAAGTGCCGGGTTCTTCACAAGCTGTCAAGCATCAAGATTGTCAGTCACATTCCACGTAGAGAGAGAGAGATGCCTTTTCTAAAATTAACTCCTTCCCCTTTGGTTATAGTTGGAAATACAGAACTCAATCTCAAGAAAAACATAATTTCAATAATACATAATTAATGGCAGCATGTGCTCCAGGGGGTGTAACATACCATCATACAGCAGTTGTCAATAACAACCTCCTCGTATACAATCTCGGGATACTTCTCTGCAACCTCACGGCAGCACTGAACAAAAGGAAATAAACGCCACCATGAATTAGAGCAATCGGCCAAAAAACAAGCTATCCTGACTAATTTTCTTTCACTAAGAAGATGTTAATGCACACCCAGAGTTTTCAGAGAGCAGACCTTGAGAAAAAGACCGTCGGTTTTCTGCATAATGTTGGCTTTGTGAATTGCAGATACCCTCTCTCTTCCATGAGTCTTGGCATAGTGAAAGGCATACTCAGCCACTCTCAAACTCGCTTGACGGGTAATAATTTTAAGACTTTCCACAACACCTCTAACAACCTAGAAAGCACAAACCGAGAAAAAAAATGTCAGCAAAAAATGCCCGAAAACTCTTAACAGAGGTTCAACAGCTCAAGACACCAACAAAGCATTACCTGATGTTCAAGCCCACTGTACTCGCCTTCTGTGTTCTCACGAATGGTTATAAGATCGACATTATCATAACGGGTTTTGTAGCCAGGAAGACTGTAGCAGGGCCTCACATTGGCATACAAGTTCAGCTCTTTCCTAAGAGTCAAGTTCAAAGAACGATGACCCTTCCCGATCGGTGTTGCCATCGGCCCTTTCAAGCCAACCTTGTTCCTCCGGACAGATTCGAGACTTTCCCATGTCAAAAAGCTCTGGGTTCTAGGGTCTATTTCAGTCCCAACGTAGTGTTCTTCCCAATCGATGGGCACCCCAGCGGTATTAAAAACCTGGATCGGCACAAAGTCGGAAACTTTTAGAGACATCAGAGTATCAGCAACAGAAAACGCACCAAATTCTGTGTGCCCAGATTCTTATCTCCCCATGATACGTCACAAAGTAGAGAGCCATCGGGTTTCAAAAATTCTCCAGACAACCTAAATAAACAATTCTCTGGTAATCATAATTCTAGAACTCGAAATTATAAGGCATCATATCACAAAATTCCAGTCAACCACTCCCAAACAACACAATCATCACATCAAAGTAGTATGCATCAGTCAAGTCAGGCAAAATAAGAAACCCAATCAAACTCGCAAATCCAACGAAGAAAAACAATGATACCTTTCATCCCCTTCTCCTACATGAACGACGAAAATTTATCGAAGAAAATCGATTAGGAAAAACGGACCTGTTTGACAGATTCGGCTATCTCTGGACCGATCCCGTCGCCAGGGAAAAGAGTCGCGGTGATCGAAGAGGATGAGAAAGCCCTAGCGAAGGACGTGAGCGAAGCGGAGCTAGGGTTCGCACTTCCAATTATCTGGGTCGATCGGCTTCCGATCAGCCGTCTCACCAGCTGCGCAGCCATGGTCATCGCTTCCAACCTCAAAAGGACGCAGCAATTTTTTTTTCTCAAAGAGGAGAGAGAGATGCGTCAGGCAAAAACGCTTTGTCGTTTAATCAATTTCCTTTTCAAAGAAACGCCGTGTAGTTTCTGAGAAGTTCCATCAAGGGTGACACTGACTGGATCCAAACGTCAAGAAGTAAGGACGTCAAACATCACAACGTCACGCAGTTCGATATATGTTTTACCGTTTCTGCACAGTAGCATCAAAGTTGTGATCTGTAATGAATTTTGACTACACATCCGTGTTGGAGAAATTCCGTACGACTTCGCCGGGCTTGAACCTCCGACGGTTTCTCCCGGATTTACGCGGCGGCACCGGAGGTCTGTACAGGAGAAGCGGCGGAGTAATTAACCGTTCAGAACCGACCATTTTCCTTATGATTCGAAATAAAATTACACAAACCGGGACCGGTTTAAGCTATCGTCCTATCATGTGTATATAACATAACATTACATCCAAAATGAGGCAAGAACAAAGAAACCAAACAAAAAAAAAATCTCCGCAGCAACAAAAACATCTTTTTTTGATACATAATACAAAGAGAGTCGCTCCTTCTTCTTCGGCCTTTGCTCTGACGATCAGTACACGGCCCCAGTCACGTTCTTTCTCGAACCGGGTCCATCCTGGCTCAAACCGGTCGGTTTATTCCCTAACCGACGCTTATACCGCTTCAAAACCGACGCCAAGTTCTCCTTCCCCTTGGGGAAAGCCACGTCCCCGGCCGCTGTCCCGCTCCGTCCCTTCCTGCAGGATATCGCCATCTCGACGTCTTTGATGAGATCAAGGACCATGGCTGCCGTCGTGCATCTCCCTCTCGCCGGTTTTGCAGCTGGTGGTAACATTCCATTGGAGGGCGAAGGCGGACTTGCTCTCTGCTGGTGGCTGGCCGGAATCTGAAGGCAGAAGCATGGATTCATCGGAGTCCGTTGCTTCAAGAACGCCGGCTCTATCACTCCCTGTCCATTCCCGATAAAAGATTCAAACATATTACCAACAAATCTGCCATTGTTTCACTGAGTAAAGGTGTTACCTGAAGGCGGTTTAGGACATAAGTGTACTTTCCCCAGAGCTCGGGCCGGCTTTCCATGAGCGATAAGTCGAGGATACGGTGGATGCACCATACACCGAAGCTCACAATCAGATCAGATCTCCAGATGCAACCATCTCCGCAATTGGGAACCGACGAAACCAGAGGCTCACCACCCACATGACCCACCTGGCTTATCTCCCGGGTTTCGACCTCGTAGATGAACTTCTCCCTCGCAGCTACCCGGTCAATGAGTTCTTCATCGACTCCATCGCTTTGTCTGAACAACCAGTCCGATCCTTCCAGTTTAAGTAGCTTAAGAATACAGTGTCTGAATGACTGAAGCAATTTTGCCTCAGCATCTACACCCGAAGACGCGTCCATACTTACCGGGTTTGATCTATTTCCAGGTTGTTGCTCACCACCAGCGCCGTTTCTCTCGGCTAAACCAAACTGCTCGAACGGTTGTCTAGACCAGAGTGATCCAGTGTTAGCAGTTGCAGTCTGAGGCAAGTTAAAGGATCCTCTAAAGCTTCTTGATGGAGAAACATCATCAAAAGCCAGAGGTACTCCAACTCTCGACCCGGGATTGGAATATACCGACTGTTCATTGCTTACGCGGCCATATGACATGCCATACCCACCCGATGACCCGCCATCCCAGTATCCGCTCTTGCTCGGCAAACGCATATCTCTGAAAGCCATAGAGAGTCCCGATATGTCCGGCATGCTACTGAATTTCTTCTCATTGGCTGCTATTACAACACTTTCAGTGGATCCAGAAGATGGAACATCAAAGTAAGATCTTTCGGATTGTATCGGGGTGTTCCTAGAAGCAGCGTGATTGTGAAACCCAGGGGCCGGTCCAAGGGTCGTCCCGTTCCGAGACTTTTGTCTCAAAGCTAAAGCAAGTTGCTCGGTATAACTCATGGGACCGGGGGATGGAGATGGAGATCTCGATGTCGGGATTTCCCCACGTGAATGCAAGAGCTCGAGCCTTTCTTTGGCGAGTCTATTGAGGTAGGACGTAACCTGGTACCCGTGAACCGTAGCTGGCTGATAGTCCCGACCATCCGAAGATGGTGGAACTCGTAAACTAGAGTACCTTCTCTCACCCGATTCATACACATTCAACAACTGCATCCGGTTAACCAATGATGATGATGATGACGAACCTCTTTGAACTCCGTACAATGAATCGATGCTTCCTCCTGGAACCCTCTGCTGCTTGAGAGAATCGTGAAAACTCGGGTCCGATCCCCTTGCACTCGGAGATACACAATACCCACCGATGTCCTTCCCGTAAGGATCTGCTTTCACAGAAATGGCTGCCTTTTGGTCAACCCCGAGCAACAGATCTAGCTTCTTTGCCCTTGCTTCAGCTACAACTTGCCCATGGAAATCATACAACTGCCCCCAAAACTCATCGAGAATTGTGGATAAGTTTCGACGTGCAGCTCGACCCAAACCCGCCAATCTCGAGAGGCTTCCGGTACCGCTTCCGCCTTCCTCGCTTTTCCCACTGAGGCTGCGGAATGAAGGTGGCCCATCAGACACAATAGGCAAGTAGCTGCTTGCAGGAGCGGGTTTGGGTGCTTCTTCAGTTTCCCAAGAAACAGCTTCTTCATCGACACGTTTCTCGCTATTTTCCATTCTAACAGTTTTCTCCACGGGACTCACTGGCTCGACCTTTACCGTCTTTGTCTCAACAACCGAATCGTCATCATCACTGACCTCATTCACCACCGTTGAATGTGGAAAAGACTGTTTTTTCACTTCAGAATCTTTACTGAAACTCACTTGAGGAGCAGAGAATTTAGCAATGGCCTCATTTTCCAGTAGAGGGCTCGACCTGATTTCTTGTTCAGACATCAAAATGGTCTCTGGCAAGTCATAGCATGAGCTAGCATCTGGCTGATCCTTTGTCCTGTTTTCCACCATAGTCAACAATTCTTCTTCACGTGGCCTCTGTTTTCTTCTTTCATCTTCCTCTTCTCCGACAGAAGGATAGGATAAGGCATTGTGAATATCCATATTCCAGACTTGAGCTTCAACCCTGTTACTTGCAGACTTCAATGGCGTGGCTGCCAGCCAAAGCATCAAGCACAAAGACACACAAGCAAACACGAGAAGAGTGATATAAGGTAAAGACGAGCCCATCACTGTGTTCCATCTCAAACTGCCAGCCCAGTCACTGTTCCCGAAAGCCATCTCCACAACGAAAATGATGTTCAACCCGAGAATCCCCAAGAACGTCAAAAGGGCTAGAAACTCACCGGCCTGGGGAATTTTGTGGATGCCCATGATTTGTCTCGAAGAGGCGACACGGAAGAGAGGGATTATGGAGGATGGAAGCATCATAGCAACAAGAACTTGAGTGATAATCAGCAACTGGTATAACCCTTCTGCCCCGGATGTCCACACACAGTAGAGAGCAGGAACAACTGCGAGAATTCTGACTGTAGCACGATGAAGCCAGCCCGGAATTTCTATCTTCAGGAAGCCATGAAGGATAATGTCCCCGCCGAAGGCCCAGGCCAGAGCTGTGATTTGATTAGCGAAAAACACGAGCGCCAAAAACGCCACTGGAACCAGCGGGCTCCTAAATACCTGCGACCAAAAACAGAAACCCGGAAACAAGTTTTGTTGGAAGTCATATAATCAGTGTTCACATTTCTCAAAACTGTCTGATCAAAGTTAAAAGAAAAGACAACAGATGGACCTACCTGTTCCATCAACGACATTGCGTCCTGGAAGGTCAGTAAGACGAGACCAGTAGTATGGAACACGCTCGATGCCGCGTTCATCAGGACATAATTTACGAGGGACAGGCCGCTAAAGACACAAAAGATGGCGAAAAGATGATCTCGACACAAGCTGCTCTTCGAGACATCTAGTGAGGATGTACTTTCCTGTGATCAAATGCCACATTGCTTAATAGGGGATGGAGGTTAATAAAGAAACGTGAATCGAAAAGAAGAAAAGAATTACCCCGGCAAAATAAGAATGGAGATAAAAATTGTGAGGCATAACGCTAGCTCCGAGAAGACCCATCAGGGTGAATGCACTCTCCCCGTTAAACCTTGTCAACATTCCGTTCGTAGAAAATGGGATCTCAGGCTGGCTTAAAAGGACACCAGAAACGTAGAAAAATAATACAAGCCCCGCCGAGAAAATGGATACTGTATTCGCCACACGATTGTCCTACAAAATTTTCACGACAATTCAGCTCACTTTATAGTAACGCAATTGCAAAGCAGAGCAAATATGACATAAAAGAAAGTCGGGTCATACAAGGAAAGAGGCAAAGACAGGAAACATAAAAGCATCAATGGCAGCCAAAAACACTCCAGTTGCCATGTCCACCCCTAAGACAAGGTTAAGTGCATGTGCAACACCAAGAACCTGTTTAGTATAGAGATAGATGTTCAAGTCAGAAGCATCGAAAATTAATTCCGAATATTTAAGAACCGAAAGGGCATGAGAGGAGAGGAAATACCATCGTAAGGTCGAGCAAAATTGCAGAGAATTCTGCTTGAACTCCCAAGAACATGCACGTCCACTTGTCGTACTCGTCATTGCAGATCTATGATCACATATAAAGAACATGAACATGTTTGGTAAGGGAATTAATTAAATTTCATTTCATATATATATGTATACCAAAAAAAGGCGATGCAGGTAAGAAATTTCAGAAAACATAGCCATATATGGAGAGGCAATAGGTAGAGTTTGCAAGTTGGAATCACCAAATAAAGTTCATTTCCATCCTCAGAACATAGAACTGGCCCATGCATATGCCAACAAGCAATAATAACTATATCATCTCTGAGCAGCCAAACATTCAAACAAAGGGGAATAAATGCATCATTGCTACTTTAGGAATACTAATTGAGAAATCAGCAAATGAGATACTGAGACAGCACCAACCATGGAAACACTGTATATATGGGAAAGAAAACTGTAAAATTCCCAACTGAAATGTTAATGTTCCTCTGATTAAGAACCCGATGTTATCGATCAAGGTCACAAACCGCTACATACTGACATAAGATCGCAACAAAGTTGAAAAGCAGCATAATTGCCACAAGGTCGTGCCCAAAACGTGCTCCTCCTTCAATAACCGCCACCCATTTCCCAGGATCGATATATCCGATTGAAATCAAAAGGACTGGCACAAGAGCAGGACCCATCCGCTGAATAAACCCTAGCCCAGTTCTAGCCGTCACAGTTTCGGCTTCCATCCTATATCTATATGGCAACACAACTCCGGGGAAGATTTGACGAAAACAAAGATCTCTCACAGTAAACCTAGCAGGATAAATTTACATTTATATGCTTGATAACATCATCCCCTGTGAAATGATGCCGCCCTTCGATGTTTATACTGCAGGGAATCGGCTGATTCTTCCGTCAAATAAAGAGGAGATAAAACCTCTTCGAGCTGTCTTATTTTGCGGATTTCACGCTACAGATGAACGGAGATTACGCTCAAAACCAAAGTAAGGTTAACTCAAGGACTGCCTAAAACGACACAGCTGTCTCTGAGTTAAATGTTACGTCAGGACAAATTCTCGAGACTTATCCGTGTACGTCAGGGCAAATTTTCGAGACTTATCCGTGTTCCACACAACCTCGGTCCAAACGGAGGAAACCCTGAAAGCCCAACCCAGAACAGAGGAACGCTGATTTCCATATGCCTTGATCCGAATCAACTCTGGACCTGAAAAAATAATCAAAGACCAGAAAGAATTCCCTTTTAGGCTTCCATTTTAAGACAGGTGCATTCAACCATACAACAGCTCTAAGCCCTGATCTTCAGGTCAATACCCACCCATAGATTTTGTCACAGTCCCAAACATGGACAATCATATAATTTTACAGTAACTGACAAAGCTGAATTGCAGGAAATTACTACACGCCTTCCATTACTAGAGCCCGACACGATATCATCGGTTACAAAACATCACTAAATCAACCTGACAGAATCTTAACTCTTGACTGTAAGGCAAACAAACGCAAGAATCCCCAGATGATCGACACATTGAAGATCTTCTCAGAAACAGGTCAGCACAGAACATCCACAACTACAAGTCCAGTGCAACAAAACTTAAATCTCCAATCAAAAACCAATAAACTCAGACGGGTAAAGGGAAAAAAAATGAACAGACTTTACAACCCTAAGTCAAAAACCCAGAAAACGTAGAGATCCTGCTGCAACTCGGATCCGATTCACCTGGGGATTTTTCTTTTCATTCCAGAAAAAAAAAAGGTCAAAAAGCATACACATAAGCCAAAACCCAGAACCAGAACACCCATTTGCACAAAATCCGAGGTGAAATAGGCAACCCCCCCCCCCCCCCGCC